AACAGGACCTGATAAGGAGTTAACTCAGAAATCACTTTGAGGACATTTAACTCATTAGGGTAGCTCCTGATCAGGTCCTGAAGCCTTGCCTTTTACTCTGGCTCCTACCGCCTACTCAGTGAGGATGCAGACTCTAATGCCGGGTCTGGTGCGCAGCGCCCGAGGGCTAAGCACCGCTCTCCGCCTTCCTCTTCAGATCTGCTGGAGCGTGCACTGCGGCGGCGTTCCTGAGGGAGTTCGTGACTCATCCCAAGTGGGCGCACTTAGACATCGCGGGTGTGATGACCAACAAGGACGAGGTTCCGTACCTGCGGAAGGGCATGACTGGGAGGCCCACCCGGACTCTGATCGAGTTCCTGCTTCGCTTCAGTCAAGATGAGGCCTAGTTCTGACACTCGGAAATCGCTGCATAAGCCTTACAATGGGCAGTTAAACTTAAATATTTTTGAATGGATAAAAGTCTTTTAAGACAACAAGGATTGCATTTTTAAAGTTAGAACAAAATGAAAATTTGTATGCCTTGATATTTGATTTTATGCAAAGATTTATAAAGGTAAAGCTAATATGTTTGGCAAGCTTTTTAAGATACTCATTCTGTGCATAATATTATTTTTAAAACTTCCTGATCACTTTTCAGAGTATATATGTTTAACTGAAAGGAAAAATCGCATCTCAGATCTGTGGTGCTAGGAACATAAACAAATGAACAGTTATTATGTGATGGTCAGAAACAATAAATCCAACTTTTTGTGCTGTCTGGTTTGGCTGTAATACATATATAGATAGCTATAAACCTAGAAACATTGGCCTAACAGTTTGTCCTTTTTGGCTTTATTCCATGTACTATGTAAGTAAGTAAATTGTAACACCATAACGTAGGTGTTCCACAGTGCCAGGAATCACTTGTGGGCACTCGGCCTGCTAGTTTGTAAGACAGTGGCCTGGCATGTGATTTCTACGAGAATCAGTCACAGAGGAATACTGTGAGCCACTGTGACCTCAGCCATCTATCAGGCATGGTTCTGAGTTTTCCTGCATTGACTCCTCCGAGTGAGCCAGTGAAGCAGGCCCCGTTACCCTGCGTAACAGGTGCGGACAGTGACGCATGGGGCGAGGGAGCAGCCTGTAAAGTTGCAGAGCAGCACCGGGTAGGACACAGGGAAGCCCACATAGTCCTCACAGCTGGTGTGGGTAGTGCGCTGTTAAGGCTTTCCATTCAGGACTTGAACAGCTGTGGGATTTACTGGAAACACCACACCCAGCGAGCAACTAGACCATACAAGGGACTTTCAAACTATTTGCTTACGTCCTGGGACTATAACTCATCAACAGAATCCCATTTGTGCAGACTTAGAACAAAGCTCTCCTCTTTCTCACTTCTGTATCACATGGATTAAATTATTCGTGAACAGAATGCATTCCCCCTCTATTAAGACTTTGAAAACGTTTGATAGAGGGACTGTTTATTGCAGTTGTCTTTTAACTTTTAAACAGTTTGACATAAATGGACATTGTGAACCTAAACTGGCTTACAGAGAGGGAATGAAAATAAACATGCAAATTTGTGATATATTGAAGAATTAAAAGTCAGGCAAGAGTAATAAGCAAACACACATTCTTCTGGGTGTTCATGGTCAGAGAGGATAAAAGAACAATAGAACCCCATGCTTGTACGTGGGATGCGAAAGGCTTTTAATGCAGCCCCGAGTTCCCCGTGCTCCTCCAGTCTGGTTGAGAAGAAACTGAGTTGCCATGGCATGTGCTCCTAGCTGCCAGATCCTTCACAGTGCCTTACCACTCTTCAGGACCATGGTCCTTACCCATAGGTAGGTACCAACCAGCATTAGGCAAGGCCATGAGAAAATCCAGACGGGCAGCGATTTTGAACACATGCATTTTAAAAGGTGACAGAAATAGAGAATCCAAGGCTGAAGGGCAGTTCCATGGCCATCAAAATCCTCAGCTGGGAGTTTTCCATCACTGGCTGCAAGGTTCAAAGGCAGCATGACGTTGAGGAAAAGGAGCAGGGGCAAATGGGTACAGCTGCAATTACCAGGTTAAGTACCTGCTGAGGCCTCTGCACTCTCTTATCACCAAGATTAAGCCAAGGCTATTGCAAGAGATTTGGGGAAATGCAGAGATAGCGCTGCATGCTGCTACTGTGATGGGGGAGACAGTTCGTGAACAACGCTACATGGATAGAAGCCAGAGCTGCAAAGGTCAGTATCTGTATGTGCCAAGACCTGGCACAAGAAGCCCTCACTTGTGACTGGGGAGACAGCTCAACAGCATAAACGCCTGCCTGGCAAGAGCAAGGTCCCTGGTACTGCGAAAAGAAAGAAACCCCCCAGTAAACAAACCTTTGCTGTAAAGGGCCAGTGCACTCTGTCAGTACAGTGGGGGCAGAAACCCTCAAGTTTAGTGCTACCTGCTCACAAACAGCAAACCACTCTTAGGCGTCCCTGCCAACTAAATAAAGGAGATAACAGGATAGAGATGAACTGAAATCCTGAGACTACCTGGCAGCTAAAGGAGATTTTTGGATTACGGCAGAGGAAATCTAAAGATGTCTTCATAATCTCAAAAGTCAAATAGTAGGAAATGTTTTACTACCTTGAATAAAAGATCCTTAAATGAGCAAACATGCCACACCTAGCTTGTGTCAGACTTTGCCATGGGAAGGCAAAGTAAACAAGATACGATCCTTGTTCTTGCAGAATTTAATCTCAGGCTCAGGAAGAAGAGTTCTAGAACCATACTATTTGGTAGCATATCAACTAGACAATATTGGCCTGAACATTTCTTTGGACCATTTACAGCTATATTCTGTGGCTTTTACTGTATCCACCATGAGCTCTGGGTTTCTCCCCATCATAGAAAAGTAGTAGCTTAATACCTGGAATAGTCATATTCACCAAATTAATACGGATCCCATTCCCAAACAGCCTGGGGTTTTTTTCTGAGCACATCATGGAATTTTAGTTGGACCACATCTTACCATTTCTCTTCTCTGCCCTAATACTAGACACCATCCTCTCTGTACTCCTATATTACCGCCTCACTGGTGTCCTTCATCCCTTTGTTCTACCTGAATGAAAAGACTTTAAACAATTCATGCCAGGGATTTAGCGCAGCAGCATTAAGCACCAGCCTGGCAAGTATAAGGTCCTGAGTTTGATTCCCAGTACCAAAAAATAAATCACACTGTATTGCTATTTTCTCAAGTTATCTGGTCTGCGCCAAGCACTGTAGTAGACCTATGCATACATAGTCTCATTCTTGGTTATCTTTCAAAGATAACTAAGTGCTTTCACAATTTATCAGTGAAACAGATTTTTTTTTTTTTTTTTAGCAAAATCTAAAGTGGGTGGTCTGTGCAGAATTCAGAAGAATTATTGACCACTTTCTGAGGCAACTTACACTGAGGTATAACTGCAATCTCAGCACCAGTGGGTTTTTGAGGGGTGGTACTAGGGATTCAGCCTAGGTATGTTGAGAGAAGAGTCTAAACTGTACCGGCTGGCATCAAACCTGTGAGCTGTTTGCCTCCACCTCCTGAGTACCTGGATTACAGGCATGCACCACCACATCTGGCTCATTTTTTTCTTAGAGAAACAATTACAGTTTTAATAAAAGTACTATATATGCTAACATGTAACAGGTTTATTATTTTAATGAACTTTATTAAATTCTCAGCTTTAGTAGATAAATAGACATAACCCACAAAAAACAAAATCTTTATGATCCTCAATAATGTAGGAATGCAAAGCGCTCCTAATTTGTAGACGTTCTCTCCCACTTTTTTCTTTTGTTTCAATCAACAAATAATTTCGAGCTTTGCTAGGCACAGGTCTGAATATTCAGGGTGCAAATGGCAATGGCAGGCTCAGAAGTCCTGGAGCTTGCACTCCACTTGGGGTGGGGATGGGGCAATTTAACCAATGAAGAAAAACGAGCAATTGCAGCAAATGTTTAGGGGCTACGCAGAAAACGAAACGATTAGTCTAACTGGCAAAGGGAAGTTTCCACATTTTCTGACCACTTCTGCCCCAGCCCACTCATGGCCTTGCTGTGCTGCCTGTGGTCACTTAAGTATACCACCCAGGCAGGATGCTAACTCAGGGGACCCTATGTTTAGGAAGCTCTTCTAGTTAAATTTTCACTGCAGTTCAGTTCACAGACGAGTCTTCTCTAATTACCCATCTCGGAGAACACCCCCACTAGATATCCCCTCATAGGGATGCAATTTTCCTTCCTACCATTTATCTGTAACATTGCTGTGTATGACTTAAGTTTGCCTCTCTCTGTATACAGACTGGGGCGATTGCTGTAGCTCCCAGATCATTAAATAGTGCCTGAGACAATAGTGGATTCAGCATGCTGGATGGAAACTAAAATGAAAACATGTCTTGAACAGATAAATTTAAGCAAATTATTACGATATTGGCCTTTTTTTTTATTAATTTAGGTTTGGGTCTACAGGGTGTACAGGGTCTCATTATGTAGATTGGACTCGTGGTGACTCTCCCGTTTAGAGCCTCCCCAGGGCTGGGATTACAGGCCGCGCCACCACGCCCAGTCCCAACCGCAGTCTCCGCGCGCCCGGGGCGAGGGGGGCGGGCCGGCACAGCGTGCAGGGGATCTAACCCCCGCAGAGCAGGCGTTAATATCAAAGAGAACAAGGCCAGGACAACAGGTCGCCTCGGCAGTGGTACTGTGAGCTGTTTCGCCGCCCCGCCTCCGAATCCGCAGGGACTGCTTCCCGTCTGCGCGCCGCTCTCACCAATGAGTGGATCAGCACTCGTTAGAACAAACCCAGTGCTTGTAGAGGGGGTGGACGACTCTTCACGTAACCCGCCCACAAACTGGCCCAGAGAGGAGAAAGCGACGGCCCCGATCCACCCAATCCTTCAGGGAGACGTCATCGCTGGGGGCGGGAGGCCCTGCGCGCCGGCAGCCACTTCCGGGAGCAGCGTCCGTCACGTGACTGCGGCCCCGCGCAGGCGCAGTGCGCCTCTCCGGCCGCTCTAGACATGGCGGCTCCGCTAGGCGGTATGTTCTCCGGGCAGCTGCCGGGGCCCTCAGGTGCCCCGCCGGGACTTCCAGGCCAGGCGTCCCTTCTTCAAGCGACGCCTGGGGCCCCGAGAAGTTCCAACAGTACCTTGGTGGACGAGTTAGAGTCATCATTTGAGGTAAACTGGGGCTCGGCACTCTGCAGCCCTTCCCTTCTCGGGAGACGTGAACTGCGCGTGCGCGCGTTTTCTCCTTCCTGCTTCCCAGCGCTGGGTTTCCAAGTGATGTAGCGAGGCCCGGAACCTAGTTTATTGTTTCGGTCCCACAGTGGTATTCTCTTCAGGTCTGCTGAGGGGTAGACTCGTTTCTGGAGGCACGTGGACTTGAAGTTTGACCCCAGGGGTCCATGCAGGTCCCCGCCGGCGCTCCCTTATTTCTGCGTGTCTGCGCCGCCTCCCCCGAACCCCGCTTTTCCGCTGCGCTGCGCTCTGAAACGGGCCCAGCCTTCTCTCAAGACTCAGCTTAGAGCCCCATCTCTTGTGGATCGTGCCCTGTTTCTCTCGACGGCTCCTGCTGAGTGCCGCCCGTCCAGGTCCCTGGTTTTCCTTGACTGGCTCAGGTGGTTTCCTGGGATCGTGCGCTCTTGTTTGAGAGAACCTTGGAGACAGTCTGGGCCCATCCCACGTTTTGCTGCTTGGAGAAGCAGCCCCGGAGGGCAGAAGTAATTTGCCCAAAACTAAATTGAATTTGGGAAAATGAGCACTGCCGCTCCTGCTTCCTGACTTTCAGGCAAAAGGTATCCAAGGCATACTTCTCAAAAAAAAAAAATTTTTTAACAAGACTGCCATGCATGGGAGTCCCTTATGATTCCTATTTTCTGTGAAAGTCTTTATTTGCTCCTTCCCTCTCTACCCCCACCCCACCCCACTCCGGGAAAGAAGGGACTAAAATTCATGAGATTTGTTTTCCACCCACCCTGTTGGTGCCACTGCTGGCTCGGGGAGGCCGGGAGCAGCCACTCCTGCTTTGTGGCCCCTCTGTGGCTGGTTGGCTTGAATGAGTTGTGTTTCATCAGTCATAGGTTTCGCAAAGCACACGTGATTCACTAACATCCCAAAGCCAAAAGGAGTTGACTGTGTTTCGTGTTGTGTTTTGTTTTGTTTTGTTGTGGCTCTGGAGGGTGAACTTAAGGGCCCTTGCAGGGAGCTACATCCCATCCAGCCTTGTAAAAATTGTTTGAGATCAGGCTGTGCTAAAATTTTGCTCAGACTGGACTTGGATTTGTAATCCCCCTGCCTCGCCTTCCTGGAGTGCTGGGATTCCAGGCATGCGCCACAATGCCTGGCCAGTCAACTGCTGATGGAATACACAGAATGGGCAATCAGATTTGTTAAGGGTCTGATTTGTCGTAGGGCTGGAGGATTCCTGCAATAGTAGTTGTAACCTGGAAACTGCCGGCAGCACAATGTATTGCTTCCCAAAAGGGCCTTCCCAGTCTTTGGTGTTCTAAATTTGAGCTTGTATCAGCATGCCTCGCACCAAGTGTAGTTTGGTGAGGCTCTCCTTTCTTGAAGTGGAGGCTTTCTTTGCAACTTCTTCCCTCGCTGGCCTTTCTGGCTCGGCTGTCTGCAGTGGGCCTTCTCTGAGCATTTTCTGACACTTGCCTGCAGGTTCCTGGCCGATTCATATGCACATTCCACTCAGTGTCCTTTAAAGAGAACTCCCACTTTGGGACTTTGCTATCCATGTGACATCGGCCTTGTCCTCTTGGGCCACCCAGTAATTGGTATTTATTAAACACCATGCTGCTTATTAAATGTCAGACATTATTCCAAGCACAATGAGTACAGTGGGAAACAAGACAAAATTTCCACCTATTAGTAGGGACACATAATAATGCAAAAAAAAAAAAAATGATGTCATGTAATTACATGAAAAACAACAAAGCTGGACTTCAGGGTAGAGCATGAACAGGAGCAACACCATTTGGAAAGGACAGAGACGGCCTGTCTGCAGAGGTGACATTTGGCCTGTATTCTGAAAGAATAACAACAGCAGTCATTGAAGGATTGATGGAAAAGAGAGTGTTTGGGAGGGTGTTCATACTGGTATGGAATGAGATAGGAATGGGCAGTGGATGGAATCAAGTGGCAGTGCTGGCGCTGGGTCATTTGGGACTCAGTTTACAAACCAGGTATCTTTTCTGGAATGATGTCCTGTCACCTGTACAAACCCAAGCACCATCAAATTGTTGAATGATGTCAGGAGAAGCATTTCTTACTCAGAAGTAAGACTTGATGTGCAGGTGACATCTTTTTTGTTGTTTTGATCACATAGGCTTGCTTCGCTTCTCTTGTGAGTCAGGACTACGTTAATGGCACTGATCAGGAAGAAATTCGAACTGGTAAGAATTTCTCTTTGCAAATGCTGTTCCTGCTTTCAGCAAGATTGCTTTTGCTGACTTTACAGCTGCTGGGCTTTTGTCCTGCATGCATTGTAAGAAAATGTTTGTGTGGAATAAGGTGCTTGCATATTGTCCCTGTGAACCAGTGGCTCTCTGTTCAGTTTGTTAACTGACATGGGTCACTCATAATGAACCATTTGTTTTTTGTATTGGTGTTGGGTAAAGAAGACTAATGGTGTGAACTGTCTGACTGAATACCCAGTGTGATTACATTTTGAGCAGAAGTCTGTCATGCTTTGCTCGTTCCCTGTGTTCTGTCCCCAGGGACGCCAGTGCTTCCAGTTTCTTTGTACCATATTTGTTTTATTTTTATTTATTTATTGTATTTTAGAGAAGGGTCTACAAGATGTTTAGAGTCTCACTACTAGATGGGACTCATAGTGATCCGCCTGTTTCCAAGAGCTGGGATTATAGGCGAGTGCCACCACACCCAATCTCAATTGCCATCTCAGCATGCCCTTGGGGCTGGGTTGGCACAGCAGGCCCAGGGATTGAACCCCTGGCCCCTGCACCTGCTTGTGAGCGCTTTAATCTGCTGAGCTGTTAGGCCAGCCCTTTTGTACCATATTGTAAATGTTCCATTTTAACTGGAAATCATAATGTTAATTTGTGAATCTCTGGATTGCTTTTTTTTTTAGAAAGCCTCATCGCTTTCATGATATATAATGTCTTGTTTGTCACCTGATGAAAGCACGAACTACCTGCTGTCTAGTGTTTGCTAAAGAAAGTTAGTAGCTGTTACTATTGCTGTGGCTAAGATTAAAATCCTAGATTACATCTCTAAGATGCTGTTTTAATATTCTGGCTGTATATATGCCTCATGTTGTTGCTAATTTAATTTTTGTTTGTTTGTTTTTTTCCATCTCTAAGGTGTTGATCAGTGTATCCAGAAGTTCCTGGATATTGCAAGACAGACAGAATGTTTTTTTCTACAAAAAAGATTGCAGTTGTCTGTCCAGAAACCAGAGCAAGTTATCAAAGAGGTACAAACTTGGTTTTTTCCTCAGCTTTTAGGGGGAGCAGTTATTGTCAGGATTCCATTTATACCTTAAATAAGATAAAAAGTTTTCCTATTGTAGAGCTTCAGTTTTGTTGTATAGATCAGTGTGCAATGCTGCTCGCTGTCCACATTCTTGAGGAGTAAGAGAAGCCAGGGAGTCGGGGTATGAGGCAGTGCCCCAGACGGAGCAGGCCTGCGCACTGTGTCCCACACCAGCAGTCACAGAAACTGTCTGAAGGGAAGGTTCTCGCCGGGTGTGGTGGAGCACCCCTTTGATCCTAGCACTCAGAAGGCTGAGGCAGGAGGATCAGTGCAAGTTCAAGGCCATCCTGCACTATACAGTGAGACAGTGTCTCAAAAAAAAAAAAGACTCTGCCTATGAAAAAGGTTGAAAAGCCACGAAAGGTGATCAAAGCGCACTTGACCCAGAGCTGTGCCCCGTGGCCTCAGTTTCCCTACCTGTGCCTTCCATGCCAGAAGGGGTCTATTCAGTGTTCAGAAAATAAATGTTCTGACCGAGGATTTCCTTGGTCTGCCATTCTAACCTGAACACTTAGAAGTGTGTAGACGAGGTATGTAGAGAAGTGTGTAGACTACCACAAGGCCTGCGAGGCTTCAGTGCCACCGGGCAGATGGGGTCAGGAGCTGCCACCCAAAGGTGGACGAGGAATCCTTCCATGCAGAGACCAGCACTGCTGCCACGGAGGAAGCCCACAGGGAGAGTGCACTTGGGCAGTTCTTTAGGTACCAGCTCCAGACCAGTTCATCAGAAAGTTTATTTCATCCGTGATAGCAGCTCTTGATGCGCTGAACATAAGAAGAGGTGCCTCACAGTCCTTTGGGGCAATCATTTCCTGGTACAGATACCTGCGTAACAGTACAGGTGTGCCAAGGTCGGGATAAAGGGTTTAATGTTGAAATTCCTAAGGAGCACTTGGTAATGTAGTTTAACTTTCATAATCTGAAATTTTAGAGAGTAGTGCCGGTTTTTACAAATCTTTCAGGTTTTGAATGGCTTTTGTTGTTAGCAAAAGTCTTTGAACAGAGTTAGCTGGTGACTGAGGATTAGGATAAGAAAGTGATTAATTGCTTTTTGGCTGTCCTTGAGTGCTTTTTGAATTCTGTGGCTTGTGTTATTACTTATTAAAGGACAAATAATTAAACACTGTGATATTAGGCGACATCTGCCATTTCAATAGTTACTTTGGATTTACATAGTGTATCCACGCAGAACAGTGCGTATAGTGTAGTTTCCTGTATTCCCTTGGTTCTGAATTTACTTCCCAGTGCTGTTACCGCATGAGAAACTGTATCCTCTTGCCTTGAGTATGCTCTGACGTGTTTCATCACTCTTCATCCTAGGATGTCTCAGAACTAAGGAATGAATTGCAGCGGAAAGATGCACTGGTCCAGAAGCATCTGACAAAGCTGAGGCATTGGCAGCAGGTGCTGGAGGATATCAATGTGCAGCACAAAAAACCCGCAGAAATCCCACAGGGCTCCTTGGCCTACCTCGAGCAGGCCTCTGCCAACATCCCTGCGCCTCTGAAGCAGACGTGAGCCCCCAGGCCGGCAGCCGCCCCAGACATGGCTCTGCCCAACATCTGCTCTGTGGACCTGCATCCAGGACCTGCATCCTTCACTGTGGACCTGCACTGTGGACCTGCATCCTTCACTGTGTGAAGGTCAGGAGGCGGGTTTTATGTCCCGCCTACGGTCACCTCCTTATTTTTATGAGATGTTAATTCCTTGAGTATATTACAAAATGCCTGTAGCTTTGGTGGCCCAAGTTAAGTCTTTTGCTGTTAGCACAGTTTAGAGTCAGTATGATGACACTTTTTTTTTTTTTTTTTTAACATGACTTTATTTTTGTGTTTCAATTTGTTAGATGTGTATGGGATGAGGGAAAAACTGACCAAAGTCTGGGTTGGAGGCAGGAACGGGCATGTATACCTTTTATGGAAACTGCCCCACTGTGGTAGTGTTGAAAGATAACAGACTTGCTGTTGGAAGACTGAACTACCTCAAGAGGAGGACTCTAATGCAGTGATGTTTGTTGTGGTTCCAGAGCGGGACAGAGTGTGAATGTTTTGTAACTTGGTCAAAAAAAGAGTAAGAGGTGCGAGTTAGTGTGGTAATGTTTCAGTAGGCTCCTCTGTGATGATGGCTTTTATTTGGGCTAGTTTATATTTGTGTGCTGTTTGTGTGCTGATCTTGAGGAGGGTGTACGAGGAAGTAATTGCTGAAGGCTGTGACACCCCTTGGGAATGAGTCAGCTCAGGAATGGTGGACCCTGACAGCTGGGACACAGTGCAGTGTGAGGAGTCATGGTTTACTCTGATTTCTCTTTGAACTCTGCCTCTGGTTTCATTTTGCTTCTCTGGCACAGTTTCTTTTTTTTTTTTTTTTTTTGGCGGAACTGAGGGTTGAACTCAGGCCCTTGCGCTTTCAGGGAAGCGCTTATTCAACACTGAGCCATCTCCCCGCAGATCAGTTGCAGTGGATCATGGATTGGATTCCAGGCGACAAGTGCCCCGGAGCCAGAGGCGCAACCTGTAGCGGCCTTGCCCTCCTGTTGGCCGTGTTGTCCTTTCCTTTATGCTGTTCCCTACTAGATCCTGACCCTTTAACTGAGCGCCAGAGCCCCGCCGCTCTCTTCTGAGGAGTCTGCACAGCAGAAGCCCAGAGCCTGAACTGCTGTGTCCCTTCCAGCCCCCACTGACATACTCCTGCTACTGCTCTAGCCTGGGTGCCACCTGCCGCTGCACGGAGCCCCAGTGCCCTTCAGGACACAGGGCTTCTCTTCTGCCACCGTGCTCGAGGCCCTACCTTGCCTGTTACAGACTTGAGTTTGTCCTGGCTGCACTGCAGGCCGAGAGACAGGCATCACGCCCCTTGCCAGTAGTGCCCCTGTGTTATCACCTCTTACGCATGGTGCTTCTCCCTCGCTGTAGTTTGTGCTTGAGTGTAGATATTTGGCCCAGGGACCTATTATTTATTATTACCAGCTGGAGCCCAACAGACCCCTCAATTAGTGTGTATCAGCATGAAACAAAGCTCTCACCTGATGAACTTTTAGCTGCGTTATCTCACACTGATCAGTAGCTTTAAATTTCTTGATGAAAATCCTAAATAAACACATTAAGTTTGGGGCACTTCTAACTAATAGGCGCGTGCAGATCGGAGCAGGCACGCCTATAATCCCGGCCCTCTGGGAAGCTGAGGGCAGAGGCCTACGGGCTAGAGTCCTACATGGGCAATTTAGTGACTAAGGGAGGCTTGTCTTAGATTTTTAAAAAGGGCCTGCGATTCAGTTCTAGCGCCACAAGAAAAACAAGGCTAGAAATTGGGGCGCAGTGGTACACGTCTGCAATCCTAGCTGCTCAGGAGGCTGAGGCAGGAGGACTGCACATTCAAAGCCAACCTGGGCTGGCATGGTACAGCAGGGTGGGGATTGAACCGCAGCCACTGCACTCTGCCTGAGTGGGCTGTTGAGTCCATTGAGCTATCTGGCTGGCCCTTTTATTTTCTTTCTTAATGGTTCACAGGCAAGTACCTAATACTGCCTCTTCCTCAACTTTGTAATTCTTGCTGCCACTGACTAAACAGGTGGACTAATTTTGAGTGAAAATAAAAGCCTTAATGGGTTTGACTACGAAATACTTTTCTATAAAAAACACTTGTGAAATGGCTGGTGTTGTGTTTTGTTTTGTTTTCCAAAAGAAAACCCCTGGGTTTCATCCTTGGAACTGAAAGGAGGTTTAAAAAAAAAAAAAAGGCTGTGCTTGGTGCTTGTAAAAATATTTTGAATTAGGTATGTATGAGTTATTACCATTTCTTTATTCAGTTGGAAACTTGTCAAATACAAATTTTTTAGTGTTCTAAGTTTGTAAACACCTTGTTACTCTTAAACGACATCTTGTCAGTGAAGCTAGAATACCCAGCTGCCCTCTCCAGGGAGGCCCACGGGCTGTCCATGCCCCGTGACCTCCCGCCTGTGTTCTGGGCCGTCTGAGGATTTTCATCCATCGTGAACTGCAGCCCAGCTCCCGCCGCCTCTAACTGCCCCTGTGCGCTCCTCTGTCCTGCTGGCTGTGGTCTCCCTCTCATGCTACCATGATAATGCTGTGGCTGCTTCTGGCCACCACACCATCCCTTCTCTCTCTCCTCTTCTGCCTGGCCTCTGCCTGTTGACCTTGCTCAGCACTGGGCCTTGGCCCATCGGGAGACAGTAGAGGAGCTGCCGCGTGAGTCCTCCCTATGGGAGCACTGCTGTGGGAATCACAGTTGCAAAGCCCCTTGGCCACACAAGTCCGGGGCATGGGGGCTAGAATCAGGCCGTTGGTGTCACCAGGGACTCCTTGGAAGGGCCGCCTTCTGGGGAGCTCTTTCAGCTGCCCAGGATGCCCCCAGAGCTGTCCTGTGTCAGAGTCTCAAGGCCCCCACCACAAGCACAGTTGTCAAACCTGCACCTGCTCCATCTTTGCTGCTGTCCCGTCTTACAGGTGCACCCCACCCACCCTCACCATCCAGCCACGTTATTCTGCTAGACAGAAAGTCTCAGGACACCAGCCTCACACAGAGTGTTCTGGGTCTATAATAAAGTAAGACAAAACTAGTCCCTTCCTAATTAAGGGATTAAGCCCCCAAATCCAGAAATTTTGAGCACTGACATTACACTGTGAGGGGGCGATTGCATGCCTGATGGGTTGTGGTCAAAATGCAGGGGAACTAGATGTGTGCAGAATCAATCTGCAGGCTGTGTGTTTAAGACACGCAGAGTGTAGGGGGCATGCATGTGTAGTCTTGCGTCTCTTCCGTATGCAGGTACTCTGCAATCTGAAAGAACTCTTCCATATGCAGGTACTCTGCAATCTGAAAACAAGTCTAGGACCTCAGGGCCTCACTGAGCTATTATCTTCAGCTCCTAAAAAAACCACTTCAATTCTATATAGTACTTCTGGTTCCAAGCAGTCCAATAAGGGATAGTCAGCCTGTTATCATTAGAGGTGGGAATGGAGGGAGTCAAAGAAGATTGAGCAGGCTCCTGTCTCCTGCTAGGTGAGGCCCCTCACAGGGGCCATCAGGAGCGGCTCTCACCTTCACCTGACATTCCGACCCACTGGCATCCACATCTTGAACTTAGCCTCCAGGCTGGGCAATCATTTGTTTTGTATAAATAAGCCAGTCTTAAGTATTTTGTTAGAGCCACCTAAACACACTGTATTGTTTCATAAGGAAACAGTAGTCTTAATATAGAGTGTCAGACACGGAGCACTGGCACACGTCTGTTGTCCTAGGGTGGGAGACTGAGGCAGGAGGAGGAATTGAGCCTAGGGATTTGAGTATAGCTGAACAAGACAAAAAACTGGGGGGCGGGGTGGGGACTCCCCTAAGCAAAAATATAATGCTAAAGAAGATTGTGGCATGTCAGCAGCAATGGTGACAAGTACTGGCATTTTGAGAATTACAGTGCTGAGGATGCAGTGCTTCCCTAGCATGTGCAGGGGCCTGGGTTCAATCCCCAGCACTTTCTTGAAAGGTGATTGACATTTTATTAAAAATTGCCTTTAACTTGTAGGTTTTAATTTTAGCTGGCATTCCTTTTTTTAAATATATTTGGTACAGGCTCTTACTACACAGGTTGGACTCGAAGTGACCCTGTTTTTAGCCTACCCAGCACTGGGATTACAGGCGTGTGCTACCACGCCCAGACTCAGTGGCTGCCTCAGTGTGCCTAGGGGCAGGGCCGGCGCAGCAGGTGGTTTGGGGGCTTGACCCCCAGGCCTTGTACATGCCTAGCATGTGCTTAATCCACTGAGCTATCTCACTGGCCCTTAGCCAGCATTTCTTGATATACTGTAATCAGCTTTTTATTTAGAGATGATCTGATAAGCTTAATGTGAACTTCCTTCTTCCAAACTTTCTTCATCTAATTTTACCTTTCTATGGAAAAGCAATACAAGATACCACCATTTTTATTGCCCAGATGTTTAACATTTTATTAAAAGAGCAAATAAGAGTGCATAGAATTAAAATCTGTTTTGGGGCCACTTGCTGGCCAGCACCAATGGACTGAAGAGATACGTTGCCCACTAAAAGTTGTCCTGCGTCTCGTCAAATTGCCTTGTTCTGTCAGCAGTGAGACAGTTCCGTGTGGACGGAGGAGCGCATGGTCAGCACCATGAGTGGCCAATCCCAGCATTACAACGAGTCCATGCAGTGGGGACACAGCGCAGCATGCAGCCTAGCTCTGACTTCAGAGAACAGGTCACCTAGCAGCTGTCATCACAGATGGCCACCTCGACATGTCAGTCACTGGCAGGGAGATGTGTGACAGGGTGTGGCACAGTTAACGTTCAGGAAATTCCAATTCTGGATCGTTCTGCACAGCCTTGCTAGTCCTGGCATGGCCCCTCCTGAGGTAGGTGTGACCCTGTTTATATCTGCGTGTCTCACACCCAGGAGGTCAGAGCATTCAACCCAAGCATGCCGCAGTCCACTCTGACAGCGTTTGTTCTGGGCTTTGAAACTGGCCTTCCTGTTAATAGTGAACGTTATCTTATTCCTTCCCCTACTGAGGTTAGAAGTGCATTTAGGAATGACATCATTTTACACAGAAATGACTTTGCAAGAAAGTCATAAGAAAAATGAAACCACTTTTAAAAGTAAACCACAGACACCCCAAAGCCCGACATCTCAGAGGATGCAGGACGTTCTGGGCACTAGCGATGCTGTCTGCACCTCAGCCATATTAGTAGCATTTCCCTATGCGTGCTTTTCAGTAACACTGGTTGGTTTTATCTTCAATATCAAGAATTTGGAACAAACTAGCGACACAATGAAACAGTATGAAGGGTTAAAGCCAACATTTGTTTTCGCTGTGATACGTACATCATCGGACAAGCAAGTTACTCGGTGGTTGAAGCTCATTCCTTTCGTAAATGGTAAATGTTTGCCGATGTCTTCTGTGATGTATCGTGAAGATCGGTTTAGAAGGAAAAGTACTTAGTGAACCACTCCTGGTGTGGAGAGCCCTGCTTCTGCGGAGCTTCCTTAGCTTGGGCTCCTTCGCCGTCTTGTACCCTAAAAAATAAACAGTTGCTTCAGTGGTTTTGGAAGTGATTCAGTGATCAACACAACAGCGCGTTATCTCTCCGGGGAAACAGAAGTGCTCAGTCTTGTTCTCAGAGGACCTGTTAGTAGCTGGAAGCCAGGACCAAGGGTGGAAAGGGGGTGTCGGCTTCCTGTTTTGGAAACAGAAAGTTCTCCATTGTTTGATCTCCACTATTTAGGGTTTTGTATTCACTATAATGAAGCACATGCTGTAGCATTTATTATTTATTTTAGGCACAGAACAAATGAGATAACGAGCCCAAATTTAAAAGACAAAAGTGCCAGGGAAATAGCTCAATGGCATAAACACCTGACTGGCAAGCTCAGGGTCCTGAGTTCGATCCCTGGTACAAAAAAAAGGGCAAAATGAAAAAGTCAGCACAGCATCACAGTGTACCACATCTCCAGCTAGCTAAGGTGGCTTTGCTTCTCAACAGAGGCTCCGCAGTTAGCCTAGAAAGCTGGAGAAGAACCTGGGCGACAAGTTTGCCTGCCGGGCTGAAGGGCTTTCATTGGCAGCTGTGAGGCTTCAGTTAAGACATCCAAGTTGCTTTAGACTGAGGTGTGCAGGAGAAAAACCCACAGCTGCTGGCTTGGCTGCTTCACAGAGGACTGTGCGTGGGGCTCAGCCTGGGGTGCCACAGCTGTGACACAGAAGGCTGGATGCATTCGAGGCCCGCACGGGAGTTCTTCCAGCTCCACACTCCCAGGGCACCTGCGTCCCCATCCACCCCAGCAGGCAAGGGGCAGCTCACAGGCCTCATGTGGGAGAGGAGGCAAAAAAGCAGGAAGTTGTCGTTTTAGATTTGGGTTCTTAAAACTGCAGCTTCAAGCCAGGAGTGATAGCATACACCTGTGATCCCTGCGCTGCAGGAGGCTTAGGCAGGAGGATGCAAAGTTTGAACCCAGCCTGTGTGGTTGAGCAAGAAGACTCTCTCAAAATTTAAAAATGCAGAGGGCTAAGATTGAGCTCTGTGAAGGGAGAAGAAAAAAGAAAAAAAAAAAAAAAAAAAAACCTGCAGCCTCTAGACAGCAAAGGTTACAACATCTTTTTTACTCTAAACCTGTTCTTTTTCCAGGCTTTTAAATTCCTGAGCATCTTAAAGGTACAAGAAGTCAGTGTTCTTTATTCCAATTCTGTAAATTCATGCATTGCCCAGATTCCCGCCTTTTGGGAACGTGCCTGCTGAATGCAAGAGTGGATAGGAGACCGAGATTTAATAAAGGAGAGATGCTGAGGAAGTACGGGAGGGGAGTGCTTTGCAGTGGATAAGAAAGCTGTAGGTGAGATCAGCACATGCACTCAGCCAAGCTTACAGCGAAGGAGGCCTTAAGATTCAGAAAGAATGCAAGAAATCTTGAGCAGAATCTGAGGAATAGGGAGGCCACACGGGACACTTCTTTACTGGGCCGTGTGTGGAGCATGGCCTGTGGGTTAATTCCTTCCTCGTGCACAGCACAGTGAGGTAGGTGCTGTGTTACCTTCGTTGGGATACACAACCCAAGGAGCTAAGTGACCTGTCCAAGGCCACACAGGTGGGGGAAAAAAGAGGCCCCGATTTGAATGCAGACCTAGAGGCCAGGCAAGAAGCACCCACTCCTGTGTGCCACACTCTCCAGTTCAAGGGGGAAAAACTAAACAGAAAAAGGCTTTGCACTTGGTGCGGGGCTCAGCACCCCTTCCAAAGAACGACAGGATTCCCTTCTCGTACACAGTCTTCCTATGTGGCCAGGCAGGCGCTTGGCCGCGGCAGGACTTGCTTTTGCTACTTTTTATGTCGGCTCTAATGCCCCCTAGCAGGTGCTGCACAGGTCTGAATGGCGCTGTATCCACAGAGACCTGGAAAGCAGTGTCCAGCCCCCTACCTCGCTGCACTTTTTGCATCTAGCAACGGGGTGGGCTTATAAGGCCGGCCACAGCTGGGGCTTGGGTCCAGGCTGGGTGACTTTGTGAGCGGAGGGGCGTTGATCCTGGAGCTCAGATCTCCACTCAGGAAGTTCTTCGCATAGGAGGCGAGGTTGGGCACGCTGACCACGCGGCTGGGCACCTCCTCCATCCTCTTCTTCTGCGAGTATCGGAGGGAAGCTTGGTTAGTGCTACACAGGCCAGCACTGCCGTGAAAGTAAGTCCCTCCCAACCAAAATGATGTCTTTTTTTTTTTTTTTTTTTTTGGTACCACGGATGGAACTTGGGACCTTGCGCTTGCCAGGCAGATGCTTACGCCCTTGAGCTATCTCCCTTTTCCCCTCCCAACCAAAATGATATGAGGAAAGAGGTCATGATTTTATTGATACACTGGCATACTGTTTTGTTATAAAACTTTGTTGTGAAGTTTTATGTATGTGTGTGTGGAGCTGGATCCACTGGGACTCGGGCATGCTGGAGGAATGTTTTGCTCTGAGCTATGCCCCCAGCCCTTTAAATAAATTATTTTTTCTCCAATCTTTGTGTTTCAACAAATACATAAATCCACACATAATCTGTTACTCTAAGAGGAATACATTAAAAACCATGCAGGAGAGCTTATTGGGTCAGGTCAGATTAGGCTTTTTTTGCCCTTTGGGCTATAAAACATACTTTTTTGGAGCTATTAAGATCTTGTGATAGGAAATAAACTTCAGTGTGAATATGCTTGTATGTTATAAATTCCAAAAATACCGTAGAGAAATACCTAAGTGGGACAGTCCTGCCACCTCCCTTCCTCCCCGTTGCCAGGTACAGCTGTTAGTAATGGTACATATATTTATTGTAAAAAAAATCTGGAGAACACAGTGACCCATAGAAAGTAAAAATCACACATCATGTCCCTTCCCGATACCATAGAGCCTGCTCAGTGCCGCGTGGACTGTTCCCCGCGGGTCTTTCCTTTGTTGATTGCGGCCCCGAATGGACACGGGCCCAGTCGTGAGCTGCAGGTACCTTTAGGAGGAAAGAAGCCTGCAGAGCGCGCTACAGTGGCAGGGCAGAGCCACTTTACCTTCATGGAGGGCGTCAAATAGCCCGGGTGAGGGTTGAAGGAGAAGGACCGGTTCCGGTGGGACATGGCGCTGGGGAAGGCCGCGTAGTGGAAGCGCCTCTCCTCCTGGAAAACCAAGGCCAGTGAGCGCAGTAGCTCACACACAGCCCGGCCGGGTGGCAGTGGTGACCCAACTGCCAGCCCCTGAAGCCCCCAGGTCCTGTGGTGCCCGCCCAAGGTGTCATCGTTTATCCTGACATCAGCCTCGGCGGGCTGAGGAGCTCCGAGCAGCCGCAGATCGCGTGTCCCTGCGCGTGGCTGGGCGGTCATGGAGGGGACGCAGGGTGTCGCCCTCCTCACTGGCGCTGCTCTCTGGCTTCCCGAGGCCAGTGCTGCGCCGCGCCCCCCCCCCCTCCCCCCGGGAACCAGCTGCGCAGGATGGCGGCGCCTGTGCGCCAAGCTGAACCTCCCCTCCTCCTGGAGGCGTGGGTGCCGGCTGCGCCGCGCAGCACTGGGCTTCGGGGAAGGCCACGGCGAGAAGCCGGGAGTTCTCGCGCCCGACATTCAAACCAATGCAGAAGGGCGGAGCTTAAGGCAGGAAAGAAAGCTAGCTGTGTGTGTACCAGACTCCACCTTCTTCCCTCCCTACCATGCTTGTGTTTGACGTCTGAACCCTGGATATTTTCCACATGCACCTAGCTAGAGGCCAGTGAGCTCGGCTCCCAGCTTAGCTCTCATACCACCGCTAGTTTGGGTCATGTGTGTTATGTTCCACGTTTTTCTCTCTTGCATTATTTTTAAAGCACATCTTATAATTTCACTGGTAAAAACCTCTATATATTTCTAAGCAATTAAAGATTCTTTTTAAAAAATCATAACCACTTCAGAAGTAACTTTTTTACTAATATAAGTGAATTTTTTAAAATTTATAGATGTAAATTTTCCATCCATAAGTGTTGGAAATAGCTTTGGTAAACTAGAAAACGTGCTCATATTCACAGATCAATGTTATTAAAAATCAAAAGCAAACCATTCTAGGTTGTTCTCTAACTCTCTAGGTAAAAAAAAAAAAAAAAACTGAACCAATGTCAACATCAAGCAGGTGTTATTGGACCTGGAAGTAGAATGTTTTTCTCTGCCTTGTATCTTCTTGCATTCATTTTTTAGTGAGGTGTGTGTGTGTGTGTGTGTGTGTGTGTGTGTGTCACTCGGTAGTGCAGGCTGGCTGTGAACTCACTATGTAGCCAAGCTGCCCTAGAACTTGCCGAGATCCTCTTGCCTCAGCCTCCCGAGTGCTGGAGTACAGGCTTGCACTGCCACACCTAGTGATTTTGGGTGGAACCAAGGATTGAACTCAGGCCCTTTGCTTATTCTATTGAGCTACCTCTGCAGCCCCTTTTGTTTGCTTTTAATGGAAAACTAAAGATTGCTTGTAAGGGAAAATGGGGGGGTGCAGAGAAAAGCCAGGTGCAAGTGCTGCCTTCAGGGACAGACGAGGCTGCATGTCCGGCTGAGGCAGGGGGCGCCCTGGGCCTCACCGTGAGCCGCTTGATGATCTCCTCGCGCTCCCTGAGGCGCGCCTGCAGGCAGCCTATGAGCTGCAGGTCCTCGGGCCTGGACGCTGCTTTCACCGGCTTCTCTCCGGAATCTTTCAGTCTGCCAAGGTAGGTGGTGGATTACTCAACCCGACGGGAGGGGGGTCGCTGTGCGTGCTCAGGCGGGGGAGTCCAAGACCCCAGGACACAGCCCCGGGTGCCCATCGCGCTGAGCTTGCTGCCGGTGGGGCCAGAGCCTCTGCCTAGGTCTGGCGCTATCTGCTGGCAGACCGGGTGCAGCGCGCTGCCTTCCCTTAGGGTCCCCAGAAGCCATCAGATGACCTCCCTCCACTCTGCTTCTCTAGTTATGTGACCTGTCACCCATGAGCCTCACTCTAAAACTGGGTCTCAGACACAGTGGCTGTGAGGACCCGATGGGGGGCAGCGTTGTCCTGGCAGGGGGCAGGTGCCCACTGGGCCGTGGCAGGAAAAGCTTTTCCCTGCAACTTGGAGGCACTGGGTGACCTTGACTTGACCTCGAGCTGCCCAAATAGGCCATGGTCTCACCTGGCCAGACCTGGCTGCCGCCCTCAGTGGCCTCCCTGTCAACCACACCCTGCCCCTAGCTCCTCCATCTCAGCAATCATGGGCGACCTCGTGAAGGCCAGTCAGAACCGGCCTCCAGCCCAAAGCCTTGCAGTGACCTCCTGGGCCCTCAGAACGTTCAGAAGTCCTTCCCTTTCCGCGAGGGCTCTGCTCCACCTACCCCTTCCTACAGGTGCTCTCTGCTTACGTTGATTACCCACAAGCCTCTGCTCACTCCACTGGCCCCAAAGGCTTCCTGGGCCTCAGGAGGCCCACAGTAAAAGCCTGGATGCTGGGTTAGCTCAGCCACTGCTATCCTGCATCTGCGCATCCCTGCCAGGCCACAGCCCACCACCGTACTCACTCGGCCTCCAGAGCCGCCAGCCGGGCCTGCAGCCGGGCCTGAGCACCGCTGAAGTCGGCCACCATGGCCTGCATCTCCTTGCGGTGCTCCTGGCGCAGCGTCTCGGCCTCTCTGGCCCTCTGGGCTTGCTGGTCCTCCTCCAGCAACCTGCAGTGACAAAAGAACCAGGTTCCAGAGACTGAAGGAGCCAGGGGCGCCAGGGGTGCTCCTGTCCTCTGCTGAGCAGCCCTGCCAGGGGGACTTGGGTTCTAAGAAGGGGGGGAATCCTGGATGGAAACACCCTCAGAAGGCCACAGGGGTCTCCAAGTGGTAGGAAGACCCCACTATGGGACCCCTTCCCACATCCATGGGGAGGACAAACCTGAGCAGGAGGACAGGCTCCAGGGGGACTCAGGACAGCAGACCTGAATGGGAGCCCCCAAAATATGCCCGACCTGTTTGCAGCACCGCAGAGATCCTTAAGCTGCACTCAGTCACTAGGCGCTGGGACCCTGACTCTCGGGAGGTCCCCAGTCTAAGTCCAAAGGACAGGTAGGGTGTGGTGGGAGAGCTGTGTGGGGGCCGGCTGTGTGTGTGCACAGCCTCTCATACCTCCGAGGTGGTGAGGGCACCCCCCCCCATTAGGGTTGGGGGCTGGCTGTGTGCATGCACAGCCTCTCATACCTCCGAGGTGGTGAGGGCACCTCCCATTAGGGTTGTCTTGAGGAGGAAGTGCGCAACACTCGCAGGGCAAAGGCTGTGCTCAACCACAAGCTGTCATCTTTCTTAACATGGTGAGGTCCTAAGCAACCCAGGGGGTCTTCACCTCAGAAAGCATGTGTGCACTGGAGTGCAAGCCTATCTTTATGGCAGAGAAGCAGCAGCAGCACTTTCCCCACTTGGAGGGGGTGTAGCCTAAAGCGCGCCCCACCCTGGCCCAACCTCCTCAGTCCAAGTGAGAACTGAAGGAATGGGGCTTTGGACTGCCTCTCTGATGAGCTCCGGCCTGCTGGAGAGGGGTGTTGGGAGAGGGGCCTTGATTCAGCAAAAGGGAAGGGGCAGGCCTTCACCCAGGGACCCAGGCGCAGCTCCTGGGGATCTGTCAAGAATGCAGACTCCAACTAATGTTAACTGGGGCTAGTTCTTCAGCTCCACCCCAACTCTACTGAGCCAGAAATGCAGGGGCTAGAGTCCAGTTGGGTGTGTCCGAGGCTTCCAGATGCCTGGAAAAGTTCCTGTATTATTTACCTGTGCTGCCAGAAGTCGAACCCAGGGCCTTGCACATAGCAGGTAAGGGGCTACCACACCCCCAGCCTGCAGGTGTTTCCAATGCAAGCTAAAGTTTGAGAACTGTGACAGTGGACATTTGTTGGGTCAATGCTGGGTGCCCACATCACCCCTTAATTCTCTCACCAACCTAGGTGCCAGGTGCTGTGGTGCCCTGGGGCACCCAGAGGTCAAACCTCTTGCCCAAGGCCACACTTCTATAAGGGGCAGAATTAACCACCTTTGACAGACCACAAGCTCCACCTTCCCCACAGCACTGTCCCTGAAGAAGCAAATCATCCCCTAGACTTTACCCCCATCTTCCAGAAGCCTTGTAAAAATTAAGTGAACAAGCACAACGTTGGCTCAAGGCAGCATTCACCATACACAATTGGCCATTAACAGGGAAGAGAGGACCTACTGCGCATTAAAATGACAAAAGTTGCTTATTAATCTGAGCAACTTTATCCCAAGCCTGGAATTCTAAAAATTTGGATGAGGTGCACAGAATCCTGGAAAGATATAAGCTGCTGGCACTCATTCAAGAAGACCTAACTCTCCTAAGCAGTCCTGTGTTCCTAGGTCTAGGAAGAAGGTGAACTTGTATTAAAAACCTTCCAACAAGGGTGAAATAAAGCTGTGGATTCACGATTTGTTAAAGTGTTAACTTCCAGTTACCCAGGAGCCAGGACTGGGCAGCCTCTTCCTGCATACAATCCACCATATCCTGTGGCGCCCCCCCAGGCACAGCAGCCCTGGGACCCCACTTTAAAGACGGTACACAGCCTGGGAGAAGTTAGCTGACTTATCCAGCTGTCACAATACTTAAAAGAGGGCCGCGGCGATAGCTCAGTAGAATAAGCGCTTGCCTGGCAAGCGCAAGGTCCTGAGTTTAATCTCTGGTACTGCAAAAGGCACGGCACTGTCCGAACCATTCCACCTACTCCGTAAGGCCGGATTTGGACACCTTGGTGTGCCCTTCTAGGCCTGATAAACTTCTTGGTTTACAAGGAAATTAGACTTTTCTCTAGAGGCAAAACCTCCGCGTCTTGGTGGGAGGTGCTACTAGGATGTGAACCCAGGGCCTTCACAACGAGCTACATCACTAGCCCTTGTTTATATTATGTATTTTTGAAACAGGCTCTCGCCACACTGCCCAGGCTGCACTAGAACTTGGGTCTTCTTGTCTCTGCTTCCCAGAGTGCTTGGATTCCACGCAAGCCCCCTTACTCAATTCCGCCAGTTTTAAGATAAGACCTAGAATTCCCAGAGTGCCGGTATTCTCCCGCAGCCAAAGGAGTGACGCAGTGAAGTAGGAGTGCGATGGAGCCACGGGGGAGCAGGGGACAGTGAAGGACCGAGTGGCGGTGGCGGTGGGGGTGGGGTGGGTGAGGGATGGGTGGGGCTCTATCCCGGACTACCTGCGCTGCTCGCGGAGCTGCCGCGCCTCCTGCTGGAGCTCTTCCGCCTCAGCGCGCAGCCGCATTACGGCGTTCCGGAGCTGCGCATTCTCCTCGCGGAGCCCAGCTCCCTCGACTGGGCCATCGGCGGTGTCCTGAGGAGCAGGCACAGGGAGGCGTCGGTGGGAGTGCCAGGCCCGAGCTGGCGGCCAAGCCAGCAGCTCCTCCTGCTGCTAAAGCGAGCCTGGCTTTGGCACCACAGACGGCCCAGCCCTGCACGGTGGCTGGAAGGGGACGGCAGGCTGTTGGGAGGTCCTTTGGCCTGTTTAGTGGGGATCCGGCGCGGGCACGGCCAAGGCAGCAGGACAGCGAGGGAATGGCGCCTCTGTGGGAACAGCGGGCGGGCAGGGCCAGGGCACTGACCTCGGAGGTGACCACGCGGTCCTCGCTGTCCCCTGGACGCAGGACGGTGGCCTGCCGCCTGCCCGAGCTGCGCAGTGTCTCCAGGTCCTTCTGGGGCTCGCAGCAGGCATCTCGCTGCTCCGGCAGCTCGTGCCTGAGGGTCTCTGAGGGGAGAGCGCAGAAGATCAAGGTCGGGGCTGTGGTCCTTCCTGCGGGAACGAGGGGCTGCGAGGACAGACGGCTCTGCCTGGGGCTGTCCAAACTGTTCCAAGCTAACAGAAACCTGCCAAGGCAACACATTACCTGTGCTCGACCCTCTGAAAGGTTCTCAGCCCGGTGTTGCGGCAGATGCTAGCATCCCAGCACTCTGGGAGGCTGAGGCAGGTGGGTCCTAAGTTTGAGCCCAGCCACAGGAATTTATACCTCAATAAATAAGACAGGGTTGGTGCTGGAGCTCCATGTGAAGGCTTCCCACTATCCGAAGAGAAGCCATCTCATTTTTGCCCGCCCTGGGGAGCCATCTTTCAAGGGTGCTACGACCCCCACCTTGTGCTCCATTCAGGATGAGGTGCAGAGAGGACCAGGTGCCTGCAGCCACCCCACCATCCAAAGGTGCTGGGCCTGACTTCCTCTGGTTTTCCTCTGTTCCCTGTCTGGCCACGCTAGCCAGTGAGGATGGAGCCAGGGAAGGGTGGGCCAGCCAGGGCCCAGGGCCAGGTCCTCACACTGAAGCAGGAAGCCAAGAGGAAAGGCAGCCGGTGACCTGGGCTTCTCTTCTGGAATCCAGGCTCTCAAGGCAGAAATCTTAAAATTTATGTCAGTGCCTTCTGGGGGGGAAGAGGGTGCAGGAGCTGCACCCAGGGCTTTGTGCGGATGAGGCCCCTGCCTGGGCTCTCAGCACCTCCATGCCCAGCCGTGTGGACCCTGAATGAGACAGAGCCCTCACAAGTGCTTGCTGTGTGGACTCTGAGGCTCATGGGGGAGGAGACACACAGTGCCACTCCAGATGACACAGGCTGGAGCCAGAGTCGCCCAGAAGCTCTGCGCAGTGAATCCTCCTTGCAGGCCTGCCAGGCAAATGCTTAGGTGTCTTTGTTTTGCAAACAGCGGGAGGGCACCCAGAGCAGTCAAGCAGCTTGCCCAGGCCACACAGCTAATGAGCCTTGGATCCAGGCTTCAAAGCCAGGCAGTTTGGCTCCAATGATCTTAGATCTCTGTTAATTTCTGGGATTTTTTTTCCCCCGGCAGGAGGTGGGGGGTAACAGGGTCTCACTCTATAGTTAGGGCACTTAGAACTCCCTGTGTAGCTCACACTGGCCTCAAACTGGTGGTCCTCCTGCCTCAGCCTCTCAAATACACTTGCAGAGTCTCTGGGTGCAGTGGTTTTCCATGAGAAGGCAGAGGGGCTGCATTGCATGCTGGGATGCAGAGCAGCAGGCAAAGAAGAACAGCAGGGCCTGAAGTCCCCAAATGGTAGAAATCTTTAGAAAGGAAACAGAGACTGAGGCCGCCTGACACTGTTGTGCAGGCCCAGCTGTCAGAGTCACCTTCAGTAACCACAATGTCCAAAGGTTCTGTATCCACGGCCCTGGGAGGTGGGGACCACAGGACCGGCACCCCAGCCCATGTTTGTGCACTCTGTGCGGGTGGCAGATACCTGGCAGCTGCGCCTGCTGCGCCTGCATCTTCTGCTCCTCCTGCAGCTCCTGTCCAGCCTTTTTCTCCAGGGTCTGGCGCTCCAGCCAGTGTGCCTGGTGTTGCAGCTGGGCTCTGTGGCTGGATTCCTTTTTCAAGAGCTCCTCTGTGGCCTGTGGGTAGATGCAGGAAGAAGTAGGCATGTACTCCCACGTAGAGAATTTACTAAGCTACCTGGGATGCTCCAGTAATCACCTGACCACAGCAGCCATTTTGTACCATGTGGACTCCCTCCCTTCCACAGCTGATTGATTGCTCTAGAGTGGGCCAACTAGAATTCTTTAACTGGGAATTTAATGTCAGGAGATGCAGGCAAGAGGGAGCAAAAGAGACACAGACTGCGTGGCTGCAGATTTAGCCCTCAGGAGCACTATGGGGCCATCCACATCCTTCCCACGACCAGTGCCGGGAGGCCCGACTGGTGGCTTCCACTGACACTAAGTCTGAATCCTTGGGAGCTATGTCACTTTTCCTGGCAAAAATCTCACTGTGAAGCAGACAGGATTCAGTTTGGGATCGCGAATGGGAGATTAGCCCAATAATGTGGGACGGCCTGGGTCGCAGGATAAGAGGGGCGTGGGGGGGGGAGGGGGGTCGGGAAGAGCAGAAGGAGGAGGGGTGCTGAAGAGGTGCAGGAACAAGAGCTGCAGCAGGAAGGCGTCGCTCGAATGGACAAGGTGAGCGGACAGATCTCCGGATGGAGCCTCCGACAGAGCCAGAAACCCTCAGCTGGCCATGCCTGCCCGGGTCCCTTTCCTCTCCCTGCACTGCTGGGGCAACTCTTGGGGACCTCAGGGAGACAGGGAGAGAAAGTTTCCTCAGCTGGGGCGGGGAGCCAGGCCAGGAGGGGACTGGTCGAGCTCCCTGCCAGCCTGCTGGCTGAGCCCTTTCAATGGGGGGGGGGGTGCAGCTTGGGCCACGCCTCACTTTCATAGACAGACAACTCCCAGAGGATGCAGATTTGACTGGGTTTCGTAGGAAAGTAAAATAGCACTGTCCTTGGAATTATTTCTGAACAACTAGTCTGTGCCGGGAATGTGGCAGAAACAAGAGCGTGAGGAGGAGCTACTTGGGATTCGATATTCTCCGTGATGGAGAAGGACTGTTTCCTAAATGTAAATAGCGCGACTACAATCAGAATGCTATAACTAGGTCCTTTGTTTTCAGAGACCCAGAGCGAGGTGCGAGCAATGATGGAAGCGAGGTATCGCGGCAAGCTGTGGGGCTGCGGTGAGGGCGTGGCTCTGAGTTCCCGAGGGATGAACGCTGCAGCCACTGCTGCCGCACGCCGCGGGAAGGGCTGGGCGTCGTGGTGGGTGAGCAGGGGCGCAGCTCCCCGCGCCCCCTGGGAGGTTTTGCTGTGAAGCTGCGTGCTCTCACACTCATGCTGCCCTCCTTGCTTTTAGCTGCCAGCTACACCTGACCCCAGCATGGGTCGTGGCGGACGACGATGCCATGGCCAGGGACACAATTATTCTTTTGTCGTCAAGGGTACAGCAGTACAAGAAGTCCACTTCCCAGTTTTCCTCCCTTATTACTGTGTGACTTGCAGCGGGTCACTGGATATCTCTGAGCCTCCTTTCTTCTGTGCAAAACGGAGGCGAGGATATGATTTTGTGTGGTGACTGTGGCACTGATTATGTGGACCAGAGGCACAGTGAGGTGCTGGGGGGGGGGCGGGAGGGGGGCTGCGCTGGCCGGGCATCATCTACCTTAAGCTCCCGGGCTTCTGCCTTCTGGAGCTAGTGCCTGAGTTCCTGCAGGTCCACGCGGGGGCGCTGGCGCCTGGCTCCAGGGCCCTCTGTAGCTGCGACACCTGCTGGGCAGGCGCAGAGGCCACAAACCCCCAGGTGGGGGAGGCCGGAGGGCTCCCTGCTCTGTCCCCCGTGAGTGCGGGGAAGGAGGGAGAAGGAGGGCAGAAGAGGCTTTAGCGCAAGCCTTCCCTGGGACAGCCTCAGGGACCTAACTACCCCCGGGAGAGCCCCATGGCCTCACCCCGTTTGAAGTCCCCTCAAATCTCACTTCCTCAGTGTCCTGACAGGTCTATGTGTAACATGCCCTCCTCCTCGCCTTCCCCGATGCCTGGTTCTTGCCACCCTGCCCAGAAGCCCTGGCCATCTTCCAAGGAACTGTGTGGCTTCCTTAGTTCTTACACCCAGTATTTAGTCTTCTCACCTCTATTAAAATACAGAACTCAGGGCGTGGTGCCAGGAGGCCCCTGGGCACCACATGAAATGAGGTAAGATTTGCATACAACCTACAGGCATTCTTCTGGATAAGGCATCTCTCCATAACTGATTATACCTAATGCAATGCAAATGCTAGCAACTTCCTCCTCCCAGATATTTTCCATGGATGCACAAACCAAGGACTAGCTATAGATCCCCATCTCTCTGGCATGCATATCCTTATACACACACACACACACACACACACACACACACACATATAAACACACACACGCTCCTTACATATACAAGGGCTTTTGTATCTGGCATGTTCACTTTTGTAACATCAAAGGCTCGGGCCAGGGAGATGGCTCAGTAGAATAAGTGCTTCCCTGGCAAGCACAAGGGCCTTAGGTCAATCCCTGGTTTAAAAAAAAAAAAAATCAAACACTCATGGCAGTGTTTGGCAGCACAGCAGGATTTGAATAAAGCAGCAAACACAAGAATCTCACTTTGCACTGGACCCCCAATGCCCTCCCCCAGCTGAGCTTTGCACGGAGGGCTGTCTCTCTTCATGCAAGGCCCCACCAGCCACACCGCAGCTCATCCTACCTGGGCTTGCCGTCGGGCTGTCTGGTTTTGCCAGTCCTCCTGTAGACCCTGGATCTTGGCTGCCTTCTCCTTCAGGGAGGGGCCCAGAGGGTGTTGGGAGTCACTGTCCTCCTTGAGGGGCACTGCTGACCTTTGAAGATAAAGAGATCCCAGTCACCAAAGATCCCAGAGCTAGGAAGGCCGCTGGCACCCTGGTAGCATCCCAGCCACTGCAGGGGAGGAGGACGGGTGCTCCAGCAGGGTGAGTGGGGTGAGATGCATGTTACTGGTCTTCCTAAAAGCAACCTGAGAAGACATTTTAACTATAATTGCACAGGATGCCACAGGAACTGCTGCATACCTACTTTCGTGGGTGCTTAGTAAAGGAGGGCACATGTGGTTTCTGTGCTATTTTACTGAAGCAGCCCAGCTGACTGAATCAAGGAGAGCGTATTAGTCTCTGCCCATCCATAGCAGCTTTGGTCCTATGGGTCGTGGGTGTTCATGGGAGCGCCACTGTGAACACAGCAAGCTATGAGAGGCATGGCACATTTCTACCAGTTCTGAGCCCCTTCCCTTCTGATGACCACAACATACCCTAGGTAGGGACTAATCCCTCAGCCAGGCTCTCAGAGTGAGAAGGCACATGGAACACACGGGCCCTAGTTAGTGGCAGAGCAGGCACGCCTGGCCTTCAGCCAGCAGCCAAGAACACTGAAGCCCAGCACAGCCTGGCCAGGCCGAGACTAGGCAGTGCATCCCTGGAATGAAAGCCACTCACACTTGAAGGAGCTTGTTAGAGCAACAACCCTGACTAACAGAGGTGATGTAGGTGGAGACTCCACTGAGTGACAAAGCTCCCTTTTGTCCCCAACTAGAGAACCAAAGGTTTTAGACCAGTCCAGAATCTTGGACCAGACCATTAACCTCTTTAAGCTTTAGGTTCTTAAACTATCAAATGAGCTCCTTGGGTCGGGGTAACAATTACATAAGTTTTGCCAAGCCCATAGGTGTGCCAAAGACATACAAGATATTTCTGTTTCTTCCCTAAGCATGATGTAAAAGGCAGTGAGAGATATTTGAGAAATGAATGAATGAATGAATGAATGAATGAATGAATGAATGAAACTGAGCCCTTATCCATCAGAGCCTTGGAAAGGCTGCCTGCTGTGTGCACCTTTCTTCTTCATCAGGGCTGGCTCCTTCTTCAGCTGCTAACTTGTCTTCTCTCAGCAGCATCCGAGAAGGGTCCTTCAGCTTGGAGCACGGGTCCTAAAGCAAGAACAACGGGCAGGTGAGGTCCAGGACAGTTCCCTCATCCCACCTGGCTCCTTCAAACTGGAGAGGAGAGGATCCCCCAGCCTGCAGGCTGGGGTGAACAGGCCTGGGCAGATGAAGAGCCTGGTTTGTGACTGGTGTCAGCTCTTAGCTTGGTATTCTGATTTTCAGTCTGCAAAGCAATCCACACAACTCATGAAAGTAAAGCCTGGGACAATTAAGTAACTCGCCCAGGGCCCAGCATCTGTGAGGAGTAGAACCCGGCTGTGCACTCAAGCAGTCTTACACTGGGGTTCCAACCCAACTCCTTCATGATTCAGTGCTGTGTGAGACATGCAGAAGTGGTCCCAGATGAGCCTGGCTTGTCATGGGGCTTGAGTAAGGGTCACAGATGAGCACTGGGACAAGGCCAGTGGCAAGTGTGAGTGACTATGCTGATAAGGATGACCATACCAATTCATGGGTTGCAGTGTGCACCATCTCATTACATAGGACCAGAAAGCTGGAACTTCCCCAATGACCAGCAGTGCCAAGCTACAGGATATGGGAAGAGAATATGCAAATGACTAAGCAACAGTCCAATCGCATGCCCTCATGTTGTCGCCTTTCCACAGAGCCACAAATGTGAAAAATACTTTTAAAAAAATTTTGATGTTTCTAGTTGCCATGGTGACCAGTGTCCACAGCAAACAGTATGATAAGATGAGCTGAAAACAGATTTGCTTGCTGTTAAGTAACGACTAACCACAACCTGGGATTTTCATAACTACTTGCATGGCTTGGAGCCAGGGTCTTGACTGTTCTGGAACAATTCATTGAGTGTCAACAGAGACCTCACTCACATCTTTGGTTTCAGACTGTGCTCCTGAGGCCCTGGGAGGAGTCTCAGGGCCCTGGGGGAGGGGCAGAGCTTAAATGGAGGGGGTATTCCTGGGATTCCAGCTCCACTTTTTCCGCAGCAAAACTGCTCTGTGCCTTTCCTTGTACTGTCAGGCCTATAAAAGGACACGGTGCTAAGGGAAAGGATGACACCCACATTGCCAGGCACCACGGTCACCTCCAGCCACACTCACTGGGCCTCTTGGCTGTGTTGGAGCTACCTGACCCCTCTCTTCTTCATGCAGCCCTCTCCTTTGGGTGTTCTCTGTCCCACCTCGTACCAGCTACTCCTTAGCTCTCTGCTAAAGTCTCCTATGCTTCCACTCGAGACCTCGGGCATTGGACGTTTCTCTTTCTCTCCTTGGAATCATCCAGTCATCCAATCTCATGCCATTAAATGCCCCATTCATGCTAGGTACATAAGGAGTATTCAATTTAATATCCTGTGGGATGATTGTTTCCTAACCGCCTTTTCTAAAATGAACACCCCCCCCCCGCCTTGCATTTGTTCTGCTTTTTCCAAAAGTACAATCTCAGCCATGGGCCAGTCAAATAGTTCAGCGGATTAAAGTGCCTGCAGGCAGGTGCAAGGGCCAGGGGTTCAATCCCCGGGCCTGCCATGCTGGCCCCGCCCCTGGGCATGGGGGTGCACCTGTAATTCCAGCTCTTGGAGGCGGTAAACAGGCAGATCACTACTAGTCTGACTACTAGTCTGATCTAGTAGTGAGACCCTGAACACCCTGTAGACCCTCCCCTAAAATACAAAAAAAAATCTCAGCCTGACTTTGTCTAGTCTTTAATTCTCTGTTTCCATTGCTGGAAGGTTAGCACCACAAGGACAGGGACTCTGCTCTATTCACCTGTTTCCTTGAAGCTTAGGACAGTATATGACCAGTAGGAAGTGCTCCCTGATGCTCCTCATACTCCTGAGCCATGTGACCTAGCATAAAATTGGCAAGATGAAAGTGAAGTGGCGGGGTGTCTGTCTGTCTGTCTGTCTGTCTGTCTCTCTCTCTCTCTCTCTCTCTTTCTCTCCTCATTTTTTTTTCTTCAAACAAACAGTAGCTAAACGTGAATTTTTTAACTGGCTCCCACTATTATATCACATTAATCCCTAAATCAACCTCATTTTCTATTTCATTCCTAGCTTGTGTTTCTCTGATCAAACCTAACTGGCCACCAGATCCACTAGTCCTTCAAGGTCCTATTCACTTTCTCAAGATTTCATTTCACTCTCCTGCACTGCAGTAGCACTCTCTGCCCTTGAAATTTCTGTAACACTATTCTGTGGTCTCAAAATTTCATAAACATTTGTTTATCGTTGCTTCTGTCAAACACCGTGCTTAAAACAGCAACAAATGAGACAGACACAACAGGGTTTCTAACTTGTAGCAGTCGTAGGTGCATTTTCTTTCTCTCTCCCTACACTATAAAAAAACATTAAACTACTCTCAGATGAAGTATAAAAATCTTATAAAGGCAACAGGCAGTAATTGAAAACTTTTAGCACAGCTGCATTTTCACAGCCCGAATCTTCCCTTTGTGCTCCTGGACGCTGAAGGCTAGTGGTTGATGCCCTGGTCACAGGGCCCACAAATTTAATTCAAAATAATGGCCTAACTAGACAAATCCAATTTCCATTGAGACATGAGACTATCAGTCCATGTTTAACCCCATGTTTCAAGTATTTGGGGCATTAAAATGTCTTATATTGCCAATTCTCATAAAGCCCAGAAGGAAATATCATGACCCAAGCAGAGCAGCTTTTTTTTTTTTTTAATTTAAAAAATACCTCTTATTTATTTGGTACAGGGTCTCACTATGCAGGTTGGACTCATAGTGATTCTCCTGTCTCAGCCTCCCTAGTGCTAGGATTACAGGCTGCACCACCACCCCTAGTTTCAGGGCCGGCACAGTATGAGGTACCGGAGATCGAACCTGGGTCCTTGCACTTGCCAGGCAGGTGCTTAAACCACCAACCTATGTCCCCAGACAGCAGAACAGCTTTCTGAATCACCTGCTATAAATACATGTTCTGTAAACTTGGCAGAAGTGTGTGGTGAAGGTGAGACAACAAAAATCAAAACAGCGTGCGTGTTACAACATGAGCGCTATGTGAGAAAGAACTCATTAGGCTCGGGTTTCGAACCTGGCTACAAGGAAATGCTAGTAATTCAGAGAGCACACAATACGCTGACAAAAACAGTTCTAATATCAATACTCACACAGACATAAACTGGCTAAGATCAACAGTCAGTCTAGCTCGATAAAAGGAGTCCTTTGTCCCAGCGCTCTAATAATGACCCTGTCGGCATTGAAAGCTGTAGTCTGGAAACATAAGGTGAAATGTTCAGAACTTCAGGGGGAAAGAGACTTTATTATTATGGAAGATTTCAATACCCATCTCTCCCAAACTGATACGAAATGGACTAGGATGAGGAAGATCTGAAATGCAGGGTTAATAAATCAAACCCAACAACTAAACAAGAAACTGTTGTGCTCACTTTGGCAGCACATATACTAACATTGGAAGGATACAGAGATTAGCACGACCCCTGCCTGCGCAAGGATAAAAAAGAAACTGTTAACCTGGAACATTTATATAGTGCTGCATGTGTGCCAGGCCTTCGACTCTGAGGTGGAACTATCTTCCCATTTTATAGGTGATGACCTGAGGCAGGAGACGCCATGCTATTTGCCTGAGTCCACACAGTGAATATGCTACGCCCATGTCTTTTTTTATTTTATTTTTATTTTTTTATTTTTGGTGGAACCGGGGATTGAACTAAGGCCCTTGCACTTGCCAGGGAAGCACTTTTTCCACTGAGCCATCTCCCCGGCCCCGTGAACATGCTATGGAGGAAGGATGTAACCATATACGCCCTAATGACCGAACTGAGAGGACGTACGCTTCCTTTCTATCACACAGGTACTATTTTGAAAACTGACTCCAAATTAAGCTGCAGAGCAAATCCACCCCAATTCACCGTGATGATATTCTACACACAGGGCTAAGTGAGGACACTCCACAAAATTAGAGGGCAAATATGAAAGTAGGTTTTTAAAAAATAAAATGAACTTCAAATCTCTGTGACACAGCTAACAACATGCACTCAGAGGAAAATTTATACACCAACAATTATTAGGATAATTATTCAAGATGTTAGGAAAGAAAAAGGATAAACCCAAGGTAAGTAGAAGGAAAGATATGAAAGACAAAATAAATGATATGGAAAAATCTGACCCATACATCTGAAAGCTGGTTCTTTGAAAAGACAAACCAAACTTCCGGCAGGCCTGATCAAAAAAGGAAGAACTTAAAGCAATACAAATAATGGAAAGCCAGAATATAGCTCAGTGGGACAGCACCTGCCTGGCAAGCACAAGGTCGTGAGTTTGATTCCTGGTACCTAAAATAACAAAACAAAAATAATAGACAAGGAGCTCATGAAAGAACAAGATAAAGAAGAATTCCAGGGGGCCTGGCCCTAGCTCAGGCCTTTAAGTGGCTGCTTCCACAAAGCTGTCAGCCTCAGGCTGCTGGAGTTCGAACCTCACAACTCTCCAGCTGGCCAAAAGTGCCCTGAAGGCATTCGAGGAAAAAAAAAAAAAGAAGAATTCCAAATACACTCTAAGTTGCCATGAAGAACGTGAAAGGGACTCTTCAGGATGTCATTTCTGGGCTGCTTTATTAACCACTGCTGTAATAAAGGAGTCCTGGGAAGGATCCAGAAGCAGAGGTGGCCTGGAGGAGCTGATGCATGAAGCTCTGTCACGTTTTCATATCTGCCTGCTTCCTCACATTATCTTGGATGCCTCAGACTCTATGAGGCAGCCGAGAAGGGGTGGCTACTCCTGCTACCTACAGACGGGAACTGTCTTGGTTACTTTTCTCTTTTGCTGAGACAAAATACCCAACCCCCCAAAATTAAGGAAGGAAAGGTTTATTTAGCTCACAGTTTGTGGAGGTTTCATCCCATACTCAGCTGACTCCGAGGCAGAGTGACACATGGCAGGGGACAGCAATTCATGGTGGCAGCTAACAGCAAAAGCAGCAGGAGAAAAAGTGAGGAGCAGCAGAGAGCAAGCCTCTCTCCTTCCCTTGTACAATATGCAGGCTGCTAGCCCCAGGGCAGGTGTAGCCCTCACCCTCACTATCTCAGCTTTGGACTGTAAATCAATCACAAACTAGAAGCCCACTCCATGACTGCATGAGGCTTTGGGGGGACATCTGGACACAAACCATAACAGGGACCCGTGATTGGGCTTGTGAGTGACTTGTCTCGGATAACATGACCAGTAGGGGCAGTCTGATGAGTAGACCCCTGTGTTCTCTAAACCTCTCCACACCATTCTGTGTCCCTGCAGTGGCACTTGGACGTACCAAACTGACAGGATTCCCTGCGCCTAGCGTCAGGACTGAACTGAATGTGAGTGAAAGGTGTGTCACGCAAACATGCTGATAAGAAATGTCTGCCACCTGGAGACTTAGATCATCTGAGACCCTGTTGACCGTTTGCTGTGATCTCAGCTACTCAGGAGGCCGAGGTAGGAGGGTCACAAGCTGGAGTCCAGTCTGGGCACTTAAGCAAGATTCTGTTTCAAGATAAAATATCAAAAAAGGACTGGAAATGCAGTTCAGTGATAGAAAATTTGCTTAGTATGTATGAGGCCGTGGATCAGTACGCCAGTGACGCCCCACCCATACACAAAAAAGGGACATGATAAATGGCATCAAGAATATGGTAAAAGGAAGCCTGGACCCTTTCGGTCCCCATAAGACACAGATTTAGTAGTAATTCACAAATTTAGTAGCAATCACAAATTCCTGATGTGAAAAGTAAGAAAAAACCCAACAGGTTCCTACATCCTAGAAGAATGTGAGACCACTCGCCAAAGCTGAAGGCGAGGCTTAGCAAACTTCTGGCCAGAAGTGCTGCCCCCGATGCTGTGCCCAGGATCAGGAAGAGACCCTCCAGCTTCCAGCTTCACCCAGGAGTGTGGAGGGGTGAGTGTGCATGTCTAGCACCCCAAGTCTTCCCAGCGGTTCCCAGTGATCTGGCTTCTGTCTGGCCCTCATGGAGCTCTGACAGGCCTGTCACAGTCCAGTTACCTGAGGGAGAATGGGCTGGTGACCATCGCAGTCCCCCCTTGGCTCACCACAGCTTGACCAAACAAAACCCAAGCTGCCTGCTTCTGTCTGGGAGAGAACCAGTGGGAGGACTCCTTCCGGCCAACAGGTTGACAAGGACTTCTCTGGTGCAAGGGCAGTTTGTGAAGACTGGGAGAGGCCTACTTTGTCTAATCAGCAGACAGCAGCATAGACAGTCAAGGAGAGTAAATATGAGGCAAAGAGGTTCCAAACCAAAGAAAAGCTGGACCTCTTGAAAGTGACTTAGTTATTTTCTCCTTGCCAAGACAAACACCCTGTGGAGGACCACCTGAGCAGCTCTCCTTGAAAGAAGAGCAACTGTCTCCATTTTGACTGAGCCTGACCCTATTTCCTTGTATTGTTCTGTACAGAGCTGGCTAGGACTTCTGTTTACCCTTCATTTGGCCTTAAGCAATGCGTACTGGTCTAGCTGAGGTGCTGGTGATAGTCTTTGAAGGTGGTGTGCGTGTTTCCCTGGTAACCTACACCTGCTGCTCTTTAATGTGAGCCAGGTTGAGACAGGATGGTAGAGCTAATGCTCTGCAGGCGCCAGCTGGGATGGAGCCTCGAGACAGAGGCCATGACTTCCTGGGGCTTGAAAGACTACACCAAAGCTGAAGCATCAGACTTACCAAAACATTAGGTACTATATAATGCAGATTACTCTCTCTGCATATCGCAGAGGTAAATTTAGGCCACCCACCTAGCTCAGCTCATAGTAGTCTCTTTCCCACAATTCTCGGTCAATCCTCAAGCCACACCCCACTGAATAAAACTGGGTGAGGCCCAGGGTCACTCTCTTTGTTCCAGAAAGCTATCTTCATGGCTGGACTTAGAGCCCCTTGACTCCCCGATGATTGAAGATATAATTTAGTGTCTTTGTTTTCGCCGTGGGTTGCATTGTAAGTGATAGATTGGAATCAGTTTGATGGGATTCCAATAACGTAGTTTGGGATTACAAATATTGGCTTCTTGGACCGAGACGAGGACCTGGAAGTGTCTCCTACAACACCCGACACCCAAAGTTAAAGAGGGAAAGCCTTATTTAGCTCACAGTTTGCAGAGTTTTCAATCAGCTGGATCCAAGGAAGAGTGATGCATGACCTTGATGGTCATGGCCGTGGGAAGACAGCAGAAGCAACAAGAGAGGAGAGAGAGACCCTTTCTGTTCCTTATAGTGCATGCAGGCTACTCGCCCTAGGATGGTGTAGCACTCACACCCTCAGTTCCAGCATTGGACCTTGAATCAATCACAAACTCTGGATTCTCTCACCTCCAAAAAAGCCTAAGACTACATGAGGCTTGGGGGGGGGGACATCCAGGCGCAAATCATAAAAGTAACCTTAATAAATCAAAGTGGAATGACCTGACAAAGAACTGAAATAACCGGTATTTACAGATATAAAGAGAGCAATGTGCTAACACAATGAGAACGTCAACAAAGAGGTAGGAAATACATCTATAAAATGAGTGCCAAACATATCATGGAGCTGAAGAACATAATAATTTACATAAAAATTTATTGCAAGGTTCAACAGAAGACAACCAATCAGAAGAAAAGATCAGTGAATTCAAAGATGGGTCACTGGAAATACTTCAGCCAGAGAAGTGAAAAAAAAAAAGGAAAGTAAGTGAAGAAAGCTTAAGGGAACTGTAAGATATCATGAAGAGGACCTAGCTATGCATATGGATTTTAGAAGGAAGGACACTGCACAGGATAAAAGGGCATTCATGGAAATTATGGCTGAAAAGTCTCCATAGCTGGGGAATAAAATTTACCTAGGGTTCTAAGACACCAAAGGTCACTAAATAAGGGGAAGCCAAAGGAATGTGTGTGGCACACATTATAATCAACTTGTCAATTTGTCTCTTCTTTGGGAAAATATCTATTCAAGTTCTAAGCCTGTTTTTAACTGGATAATTAGGGTTTTTGTTGTTGTTTTGTTTTTTACTGTTGTATGAGAGTCATGCATATTTGTGCATTAATCCCTTGTGATCCAAATGGCTTGAAAACACAAATGAGGGACAGGTACATACAAAGGTGCTCAACAACACTAATTACAAGGGACATGTAATTGAAACTACAGTGATATCAGCTCAGCTGCCAGGTGACTACTATTTTTTTTAAAAAAGTCAATGTGAAAATGTGGAAAACTGGGCTGGTGAGATGGCTCAGTGGTCTAAAGCACCTACTTAGAACAAGCTCAGCAAAGCACAAGGACCACGGTTCAATCCCCAGCACCACATGCCAGCCAGCCCCGCCCCCTGGTGGGCTGAGCTGGCCACACACACACACATACACACAAATAAATAAATAAACTTAAAAAAAAAAGAAAATGTGGAAAACTTGGAGCCCTTGCACACTATTAACAAGAATGGGTAATAACACAGCCAACAGAGAAAATGGTATGGAGGTTCCTCAAAAAATTAAAAAGGAAATTTCCATATGATC